TCTCGTACATACACCGAACGGCGATTCGTACGGCGAGTAAGTCATTTTCGGGGTCGCGGGGTACGTTTGAGCGAAGGCGAAGGCGAAAATAATGTCGCGTCGATGATATCGAGACCGTTAATCCGATATTTTCTAAGATAATGAATACAATGTATTTTCATGCTTGTGACAGTACGCGACGTTATACAAGTAGGTAAACACGTGTGCGCAAATACCGTGACATCAAAACGCTGAATGTGCACCGTCATTGAGAATGTTAATTCGATGCAACGTCCAGGTATGCGTCAACATTGAATGCAACGCGGCACAGAGCGCCGTTTCCTACAACAAAGTGTCGACTTCCCGCGGAATGCCTTGGAGCTAATCTTGCCGCGAGGTTTACGTAATAAACAAAGATCTATTAACAGAGTTATATGGTAGCGCCGAGGGGTTTAATAATCTGCACGCGACCACCTTGAAACGCAATTCGTATGCGCGAATACGTTTAGTCAAATTTTTCCATCCAACGCATACGAACGGTGCGTAACGCATAAAAAGCGATATAATTTATGTCGTCCGTTAAAAATTCCAGTACTCCGCTGAGACATTCTCATCACGCGTAATGCTTTCGCAATATCAATAAAAGCAGGAGTCCCGTGGCGCGTTTCGAAAACGCAAAATTGCGTGAGGTACAATAACTGCTGATATAGTACAAGCACCATGAAAATTAAAATAATTCATAATTATTTTACATATGAGATTCCAATATCTACTTGTTGGTACCTCGAAGTAATTCATTGCAAGGAATTTCTAATACATCTATCAAGAATAACGACATAAATCGCGTTTTCGAATTACGCTCTTGGGGCGTATATACGAGCACCCTTTGCGTGGCCAACTGATTTTTATCACCGCGTACGTTACACCGTCAATTTCTTATAATACTTATAGACGGGGTTGGGCCCGCAAGGCTCTCTCGAAAACCTAACGACCCGTGCGCGTAAAACGAGACTGCCGTTGCCCATACGTCGGGCCGGGGGATCCCCGCGAATTAGGGTGCACGCGGCCGAGGAAAATGTATGTGCACGTGCGACGGTAGATATGTCAGGTCGCGCGGTGACGAATATGGTTGTATTACGGGAAAAGGTCCGCCTTTATCGCCGCATTACATGCTCGCATTTATCCGCGTACCCCCCGCCCACGGAGTTCGGGTCGTCGATTCGAACGTTCGGGTCCGAGAACACCTGAACGGCTTAACATTTCTTTCCTTCGCCGGGCTTACGTTAAAGAATGACGAGGGGAATTATAGCGGCAAATGTCCCGCGACTGTCTGAAATGGCCCTTCACGGACTTAAGATATCTCGAGAAAAATGTAGGAGTCTCGCACACACAAATGTACGAATAAAGGAAACGAAGAACGTGATATTTATATTTAAAACGTGATATTTGCGTTAAAAAGCAAAGCAGTACCTGAAAAATTCCAGATACCTAGAAATCTAAGTTTCAGACTTTATATTCCATAATATAGATCTGCGACAAAATAAACGATAAATATCGATTCGAAGGCAATTTAATCGCGAAGATGGAAGAGGAGAGAATCGCGACGTTAAAGGCCGTCGGGGTCGTTTCTTTCAGTGATTCGACGCAAAAAGCACTCGGCATTGTACTCTCCATGCAGCTAAAAGCATTCCAACGAGGGCGAAACGCGCGCGAAGGAAAGCGACCAGTGTATGTAGGTTAAAATCTGTTGATGCACGGCTCATACGTGGGATCACCTTTTTCCTTTATCCACGTCGTCTTCCCTCTTTCTTTCTCTCGCGCGCGGTTTTCTTTCTGTTTCGTTTCTTTTTTTTCTCTCTTTTCGTCGTCGGCTTCTCGCGCTTCTGAAACGACGGGAACCAAATGGTGGGGTTAATGCGCGCACACGCCACGGGGTGTCGACCAATTTCCGGGTTCAACTAATGCACTTATCAGACGGCCAGAAAGGATCCCGAGAGGAAGGCCCGTGAGGAAGAAAAATAATTGAGACGTCCCTCTCTCGTCACGGCCGGAGAAAGCGACGCGGCGTGGCTGCGAGGAAGGAGCACGCGGCGCGGCGCGGTAAGAAGCAAAACGAATTTTAACCTTCCATAATCACGAGCGTACGCATCCTAATTCGGCGATGAGGAACGCCCAACAGAGATTGCTGACGGATCAACAGAGTTGCGAACTCTCGTCCGGGGTAATTGGAAAGTATCCAGTGGAGATGACACCCCCCCGGTGGCACCCTTTGCTTTCGAACAACTTCAGCCGAGAATTAATCTTTCGTTCGTGCCGTAACGCGTTTGTAAACTTCGGCCTAGCTCTCCCCTTTTCTTTTCTTTTTTTTTACTTACGCGCTAAAAGTGTGCAACGCGAAAGGATAAAGCGGCGCTCGTGGAACTCGCAGCGGGATCGAGAGCCACCGCCTAATGAATTAGTTTACTGAATTAGGCGGTCATAACCACGGGACATTTGACCGACGCACCTGTCATCATCGCGGCGACTCCTCAAAGACGCTCACGCTTAATTGGTCCTTGCTAAAGGGTTCAAAGAGACGCGGCGCGAAGAAATTGGGAAGGGAATGCAGCTGTCGCGCGTGGGCGCGTTACGACGCGTGCATTTCTTTGAAACACCGTCGTAATTAGATTCCGTCGGAGGACCCAAAAAGCAAGGTCTCGATGAGACCAGCCGCGCTACGCGCTTAGCAACCCAAATCCTTAAATCTCGCTTTGATCGAGTTTCAGCGGGAGGAATTGGATGAGGCGAGAGGCCGAGAACACGGGAGGCGTTGTGCGTCTTCGAAGAGTCGCGACACTTTCGACCGCGAATATGTGCTAAATGGAAACTGAATGCGAGTAAGATATTTTAACGACACGACGACATATACTTTCGCCGCTTCTCGCACTCGTTGAGTATCGACCACACTCGGTACGATCGGCCATGAAATACGACTTTGAATGCTCGCGACAGCGTTATCCGATACGGTCCCCGTCAATAATTATAAGGACGTGGATTGGTGCAATTTCCTTTCGGCGTCCCCGAAATATCGGGGGACAGCGTTAACGACGAACTGAAATTCCACTAACCAAGTTACGAGAGGACTACGAGATTTCGCGAGATGTTTTTAGCGCCCGTCGTCGTCTCATCCTGCCGGCGCGGTGACTATTCGCCGAATCTATTCTGAGCGCCATCACGAAGGGTCGCCTCTCGTGCAAGTACCAAAGATGCAACATGATACCGTGAACTCCGGCGTGAGGCTCTCGACGGTGTTGAACGCCGAGGTGTGACGCAGTGACACCGAAAAGACGTCACCGGCGTCGCGGCGACGGTCGCCGCGCGTCGAATTTCTCAGATTACATAAACCTAAATAATCCTGTGAGTCATTCTAATTCTGTCCCGGTGGGGTTGCACCGCTTTCCACCGGTTCCGTCCCACCGCCCCTCTCTCTGTCTATCTATACCGCTCTTAACCCTCCCCTCCTTGCGCATTTTCAGCCTTCATCCCATCCGTTCCCTCCCCGCCGTCTGTCTGGCGCACAAATAGCCGCGACGCGTGTGTCGTCTCTCGCACACACGATGGCCCACTTTTCCACGTGGGTCCTGAAATTAGAGAGCGCCCGACGAAAACGCCGTTTGCCTATTCATTTTCGTCGCAGCCAACGCGCTGATTCCTGACATCCTTCCCAAATGGCATGTTTGGTAGTATCTAATTAAAAGCTCCCTAGATAGCAATGGAATGGAGAAACTTTCGCGCCTTTTGTCTCGCGGCAGAACGCGTGTGAGATATCACCATTCGCGCCCTCGCGTGATGCATTTTATGTGACGACGATATTTAGATGCCATTCGTAAAAGAGTTTACGACTTAGATCGCGGATATTTCCGACCGTGGGAGAAAAAGAGAGCAAAAAAGAGATAGCGTAAAACGTTTCCGATTCACGATGTTCAAACTTTGAAACAGGTAAAATGTTGAACGAACCGGTTAATTGAGAAAGATTACCGTTCGTTACGCAACGACGACACGAAGACCGCAACAATGTTACTCCGTCGTGTATTTTTGACCGTGGCCGACATGAGCTGCTGCCTACTTCCGGCGGGGAACAATCGTTGGGAAAAGGTGATTTCTTTTGGCTGCGCGAGAGCCTCTCCGGCCGGAAAATAAATAAACGGCGAAACGTCCGCGCATGCAGGATTACGTGTCGCTGCAAAAATGTAGCGAACATGACTGAGCGACGCTGAATGCATACCGCGATTTAGCGATAATGCGACCGGCCATATTTCGTCCGATATACAATTGCGTCGGTGGTAGCCGCGATCGTGGGATTCACTAACTGTCCCAGATATCCTATTCACGGTCCATTTTCACGAGACAACGACGATCAACCACGTGTCACGGCCTCGTGTGCGAGGTCGCGAGTAATGGGAATCGTTACGCTTTAGCTGCAACTCAGCGCAGCCAGGGCCGCAAGGCGGTCGTGAATATAAAAAAAAACAAAAAACGGAGAAGCAGTCAAGATTGAAGACTCGTTTCAACGTCGATTGACTTTAACCTTACAGCCATCGAAATCGAGCTCTCCTTTTTTTTGAACAAGTTGAAGGGGAGAAAAGGTAGAGCTATATGAGTCGAAACTAAACGAGGCTGATGAAATCGTGCAATAAATTGCACTATCAAACTCGAAATCACCAAACTGCAATCTAAATCGTGATCTTAGAGATTACAAGAGAAACAAAACTTAGGCTATTCAGACTTAGCATTAATTGAAGTAAATTCATGTAAGCGGTTCTTAATTTTTAAGGTAAACAGATCGCTAAACAAATGTCTCGATATAAAATTATTTTGAAACGAACATAACGAAATAAACTGAATTATACTTTTTATATATACTTTTTCAAACGAACGAGTGCAAATACATCCCTGGCGCGTTTTATCAGATTCACACATCGGTATAAAAGTACAGGTCCGACGCGATTCGTAGGGAAATCGCTAAACAGTGGCGTGCAACGATGACGAGAGTGGCATTAGTCGTGATTTTAGTACTCTTTTCGATCTCCAGCGTGAGCTTCGTCGATTCCATGATGCCAGAGAGCCTGGGAAAATTTCTAGGGACCTTCGGCCCGGTTAAACAGTACATTGTTTATATATCGCTTAAACGCGCGAGAAAAAAAAAGGGATAAATTTTCGTTGGGGTACCTATCTCGCGTAGTGTAACGACGTGACTTTTCTTTTCAGAGTGAGGATACCTGATTTGCTGAATCAGTTGTGCAATCAGTCGCAGGGTCCTGGCGCGACGATGCAACGCGACGCTTGTTACGGTTGCTTCTACCGTGCCAGCATCTTACCGCAGGGTTACTCCATGCTAGCAGCCATGTCCACGTGCGCCGACACTTATCTCAACAACACCAACTACGGTCATTGCCAGGCCTATTTGCGAGTACGTGCACAAAACGACCGTTCATTCATTTTATTCTCCGATATACGTATCGTCATTTCCCGCGTACAAATTTTCCAATTCGTTGCGTCTCGATTTCTTGTTCTTCCCTCCAGAATGCGACCAGTATGCCAAATACACGAAGTCCTACGTTAATATACTGCTCGTTCTTAGAATGCATTCGTCAAGTCAATAAGAACAGTTTGGTAAGATTGAACTCTGAACCAATAGCTTAAGATGTGTTACTCGATACGCTATTCTATACGATTTTGCCTCTTTCTCTCTTTCTCTTTCTGCGCTTCAACGTTCTTGCTACAACGCCTCCTCATTGAATGCTATCGCCTTATATTTTGGTTCACATTACGCACGTTATGCACCCACGTATATCTTTATTTCTATAATATCTAATTAATATTTAAAAAATTAATGTATTTACTAATATATTATTTCTTAATAATTTTAGAATCTTGTTTATTAGCAAATTTTCCACTTATCTATCTTTGATACTCAATTATATTAGAAAGTTTGATGTTAAATAGTAAATATTGTGAATATTTATTGTAAATATTGTAAATAGATATTGCAAATATTATCCAGGCTATAGACGTCAGAGGAGCCAGAGCATCATCGCGAGGAGTAGCATGGCAAGTTGAGGAGCGGAGTCTTTTTAAATTGTTGAAAGTTCTAGTGCGGAAAAGCGTCTGCATAATTAAAGAGACTAATGTACCTACAACGACTACAAGGACTACAACGACTACAACGACAGTTCGTCCCGGATCTATCGATCCGCGTAATCCTCTCCAGTAATCTCTACATTTTCGAGGCTGCCACCTTCTTCCTCGTTGGGAATGCACCGACGATATCTCCACGCGAGATGACGATCGCGCGGACACGGGGAGCGCGTCTAGCGCACGATTCTCCGAATTCTGTAATCACCTGTATTATATTGTACAGTTTTCCCCTTCCGCACGACGCGAGTGTACTTTACCGGATTCAAAACCGCACCGCAAAATCTGAGGTGAAAGGTGAAAGCGCCTGACGGACGCAAACGAATTCTCCGCTGACGAGTACTTTCCGCAGCTTAGGGAATGCGTTGGCGAAGCCGCAAGAGTGTTCCCTAACGTCAACAACATCTACGTCAACCTCACGAACGCGCAGCTCTCGCAATTGTTCATCAACACCACCGCCTGCGTGCTGGCGAAGACCCGTTGCTCCTACCTGAATCCGGTTACCGGCGAGCTTCAGGACGGTGACGTCGCCAACAAGTTGCACCTACCCTCGCTGAACGCCATCCTCGTCAACACCGATTACGACATCAACATCGTGCAGCTGCCGTTCCGTTACGGCAGCGTCGACGTGTGCGCCAAGTATAGAAACGTCGAGCAAGCGAGTTGGCCCAGTGTCGCGTGTTAATTTACAAACGGATATTATATCGCGCCAAGTGCCGGGCCGGTATCCACGACGCTAAATGACGCGCGGGATGATTTTACCAAGCGACCGTTGCAGAATGAGATTACCGAGTGTGCCGTTGTTCGCAATAAAGATTTGTTTCCGTTGGCGCCAACATTTCGATCATTTCTATCTCCTGGTTTCTCGCGGCTATTAATACGAGCGCATAGCGGTTATGCGGCACGTGCCAAGCAACAAACGCATCCGCATTCCACCTTTGCGATGTCTTTTCCGAGAGCTGCCTGATATTCTGGTTTGATGGAGGAAACAGAGATTGTACGAAGTCAGAAAAGGGGCCACCGATGATCGTAATCTCATTGTTCTCGACAGTGCCGCCGCGGTGATTAGGTGACACGCGAAAATGATAATAGCGACGAAAAAGTCGGACGAATCACCCGAATTCGCGGGATACGCGCCATCGTTCGAAAAAAAGCGACTTGATCTTGCAGAAACACTCTTCGCGTATTCGCGACAATAAAAGAATAATATATATGTTGAATACGCAGATAAGATGCGCGCACATAAAAGGCGCCGAGCGCGATGCATATTATTTTTTCGTGAGAGGAAAGTTTTCTTTTATATCCGCGCACGCGAGAGCGAGCAAGTTTCCATCTCAGGGATCACGCCGCGAGTATTTCCACGTAACTTTTTCGCAGACGCAATCCGCCGAATCCCGCGGGCAAAAAAAAAGGAACCGATACCGCTCGTAATCTCCCTGTCTCTCTCTCTCTCTCTTTCTCTCTTCCTCCCGTCTTGTCGTTTCTCCCGTCAAATCGCGTCCTCATCGTTCTCCCGTGACTGTGCCGATACGCGGAGGTAGAAACGGTGCCGATGCCTGACGAGAGCTCGGCGTACAAACAACTTCATAACGACTTCGGCCGTCGAGCGTGAAAATTCGCAAATATAAACTCGCCCGGGGATGCAACGCCCGTCGGGCCGCCGTCACGTAATTTTTATTTATTTTCGTCGAAACGCACGGCGGATGCGAAAAACGCAAATAAACGCGCGGGAAGATGCGCGACGAGTCTCTCTCTCTCTCTCGACGGTCGAGCAAAATTTCCCCTCGACATTTAGGTAAGCGAAAAGCTCACCTGCGAAACTTCTCTCGGCGCGCTCCCCGAGACTTCGCGAAATAGAATTCGCAGCGCAAAGCCGTGACGAGCAAATATTTAAATGACGCTAGTACGATTTCAAGAGTCGTCCATTACGTAGGCGCGCGAGAATGCTCTTTCGTTCAAAATTGTTCGCGCGTGGGCGTGCGGCGTTCGCGGTAGCTTTTGCGGAGCAATGCGATGGGCTCCATTTGTGGTATCGATTACACGATGGGTCGCCCCGTGTGCATCTGCGTACTTACGCGAACGAGAGAAAAAGAGCGAGAAGAGAGAGAGAAACAAATGAAGAAAAAAGAAGCGGCGTAGATAAACGGGGGGGATCGCTCCATTGCGCGGAGGCGACGCTCCACTTAGCGTCTCTTCCTCGAAATAATTTGAAATATGCAAATACAATTGGTGCAGCACGCATTTGCGTGTGACGCGAGAGTGCGTACGCTCCGGCGAGTGTGTGTATGTATCGCGAAGGAAGGAGAAGCCGGAGGCCGGGAGAGAACGGCGAAGATCCCCGCGCGGGCGGGCGTATATTCGAGTGGCTCACGGTTCAGTTCTCTCGGAGTCAATCTAACTTAACATGCAGATGCAATACGTGGAATTGAGATGGTACAGCGGAGCGACGACGGGGGTTTCTGAGTCACTCCTGACATCGCCGTCCTTTCCATACCTTTCCCGCCCTTATCTGCGTCGCACTTTTCTGATCGATAGCCGCAGTTATCGAGCCGGTTATTGATAGTAGACACCGAAACTAAATGAATTTGGTATACTTCAGACAGAGAATTTTAGGTTCAGGATATAAAAAGCACAATTATGTATCCGATAGTAATATACATGCGAGAGATTAGTTGCAATTTTGAACAAAAATGATGCTAGATTTGCAAAGGATGACACTAGCGACATCTAAAATGCACATTTATTGCTAGGATCTTGTTTTATTTCCATTTGACAAAATATTAAATACAATTAGTACTCTCTACCTTCGAGAAGAATATGCCGAAACATATATTAATACCGAAGAGCTATCCGAGCTTTCTCTTGACAAAGCTCGATGCATACGAACGACACTCGTATATCAATTAAGAATACAAGAGAAATATATCGAGGAATATTCATCGAGAGATTAATTCAATAGCACTCGTGAGAGAGCTTAGCGAATTTCGCTTTCAGACGCAAATAGGATTCATTGAGAATTAAACGCGGGAACATCAAGGCGTATCTAGTCCACAATTTATACGAGTTCCCTTCTCAAATTTCACGTAAATCTTTCGCGAGGGGGGCGCGCCATATCTCGCGATACAATACATTAATCATCGTAATAAATGACGGGGGCTAAAGCCGCGCGCGACTCTTTTCGTGGATATCGTCAGAGACCCCGGCGACGGAAGGGTTCCTTTCGGAAGATAGCTCTCGAGCCGACATCCGCTTTCGAATTTGAAGTAGGTCAGGTCGATTACGTACACCCTGTGTATGCCGCGCCGCCGGAGCGCCGGAGCGCCGTCGCTATTTCCAGCCGATCATCGCTAGGAATGCATCAGCCGCGGGGAATCATCGACAGATCCGTCCGGTGACAATCACCGTACGACCTCGTTTTCGCGAAACCCGACATCGATGACGCCGCCGACGTTTTACGAGAGTGAATCATGCGAAACGCAAACGGCGATTGCGCAAGCGGCGTCATCATTGAGCGCGGAGGCGTCGGTATACGTACGGGTTGTAAACAGCGTCTCGATATAGAGAGATAGATACAGATAGATAGACAGATAGATAGATAGATAGATAAATAAAAAAAAGGAAAAGAGAGACAAGTAGGTGAAAAAAAATGAGAGACAGGGGGAGAAGGAGAAACAAAAATCAACCGATAGAGAAGCACGAGCCACGTCATCGAAGCCACGATTCCCGTACGTGAAACCGTGCTCTGGACGGCTCTCATCGCGTTTCCATCTGCTCCAATTCGTCACCTCTTTCAGCGTAGAATGCAAATATCCACGGGATACAAGGATTTGAAATCTTTATGGTTTTGACACGAGGGGGGAGAAGCAGAAAATTAAGAAAACTAGAGACTGACAAATTATCAGGTCGTAATTGAGAGAAAAAAATATAGTAAATCTGGTGGAAGTCGAGTCTGCGTCAGTGTTGAGACAGAGCTGGGTGAATTCGGGACTATTTCGCTGAAGGAAATTAACTAGCCGCGTCGGGAAGGGCATTAAAATGTAATTTAGTATTTCATAAAGCAAGTGATTCTCCGATATAACGGAGATTCCGGCGCAACAATAAAAGAGAAATTGTCGGCTGTTAATCGAAAAGCATCCCGAGTTGGGCAAGTTCCAAGAACACAATTTTCCGTGATCTAAATTCTACATCACATAATCACGATGTAATCTCTCATAACTTAGCGTGACTGCCTGAAATAACGTGCCGTTTCCGCCGCGCACTTTTATCCCATTCTTCTAAAACGTGTATCTGCTGTTCTTAAACGTAATACCTTCTCGTGCAACAAACCTAGACGAGTCGTACGGATGAAATCAACGGAAAAATTGAAGATAACGCGCGGAAAATCATCTTCACGGATCGAAAATCGTTTCCACGCGATCTGGACGATCGTAAGTGATTCAAAACCGTGATTTTCCTTCCTACGTGACGTATTGCCAAACGAAAAAGGATGACCTGTCCGAAATGCCACGGAAGGACGATTTCTTTGTCGATGAAGCTATACTCACGGTAGAATGGCATTGGTGGAATATGCATGAGTGTAATAATGACAGGGTAGAACATCACCACCACGCGCGGGCAATGGCGATGACTATGTGCGAATTTGCCTTTATATCGGCTGATCTCTCGTCGGAAAACGCTGATGACGATCGCCAGTCCTGCACGCGATCCCAACGCGCGACCGACTATTTTCCCCGACCTTTACCTAAATCCGATTACCGCGCCCGTGCCTCACGTTCGTCAAACCTCGTGGATGTATCCTCTTATCGTTTCAAACGTTAAACGTTTAAAGAGACCTAACAACGCGTGCTCACAGCTCGAATAACGCTAAGAGAAATTAATTAAATTAAATGTATAAGTTCCCAAGTAAATTTTTGTAATAAAAATAATCTATTGAAAGTAATTTTTACATCATGATTCAAATAATTACAGAATTGCAATCTGTTTTAGTTCTTTGAAACGCGCCACTCAATTTCTTTTAACTTAATCCCGTTTTATTTTACATTAATGTCCATTTCTAACAATTTAGATTAACTTTAATCTCGGTTTAACTTACTTTTTATCTCTTTCTAGTTAATACACAAATATACGTATCTATATATAAATGATTATTGTTACATATAAAATTTTAAATAAAAGTACTTAATATTATAAAAGTATTATAAAAGTATATAAACTTACATACAATAATAATGAATTATACATATTTTTATATATTAACTAGATAAAGATAAAAAGTAAGTTAAACTGCGATTAAAGTTAATCTGCATTAATAGAAATGGGCATAAATCGTTGTATCTAGTAAAGCATTCGTGTCGATCGCAATTTTTATCATAGATTTAGGCGATTTTGAGTTAATTTTGCAAAAGTTGGGCATTCGATAATCGTGGCGGCATCTACGAGGGGCTTCGCGAAGCGCGGTTCGCGCTGCGATTCCTCGCTAAAAATGTTCGCGCCTGTATTCGAATCGCTCGGATCGAACTGGTTTCGAGTGGAGCCCTCGGATAAACCGGAAATCTTGTGGGATAGCTCGCAGACATTTGTCTAACGTGGTCGCGCAATTTGTCTCTTAATGGCAAACCGGAAATCCCGTACGTTTCGCCGAAGTAAACTAACTGCAATTTCTAATCCAGCCGTACACCGGAGCCGGTGTTTTAAATCGACTGCGATAAATCACTCCATACCGATTTTCCTCCGTGCCGTATAACCACATTGCGATTCTGCGATGGCAAATGCATGCCGAGCGTTCTACGGCGTCTCCGAGGAAACTACGAAGGAATTTAATCACGATATTTGCTCGGGTAAGAAAAGCTTAAGAAACGGAGAGCCCTTC